CTCTGATGCTGTCCACAGAAGTCACCAGAACTGCCCTTACTGGCTGATGAGTGTCTCAGGGAAAACATGCAATTAGCCATAATGATCACTTGTGGAGAACGTTTCCTCTGTCTAATAATACCCCGCATTCCTGCACCTTGGACTTTTTTTTTTTTTTTTTAATATAAAGGCTGTGCACAAAGCCTCCCATTTCAGCTGATACTCAAATGCAGCTCCTTCTGGGGCGGGATGTTTAAACAGGGTGTGGCCATGTGACAGGAAACAAAAGCAAACACATTTATCAATTTCTAGCCTTTCCCAACCTATGGTGTCATTCTGAGAGAAGCCATGCCAGGGAGGAGAGGAGTTGCCTCGCAGGGGCCTGGGGTGCAGACTCCTGGGGGCCAGGTCTGGCCAGTGCAGTTGCAGTGTGGTTGGCTCTGACCCCCAGGCGCTCCTGCCACGAGCCACAGGGCTTGTCTGTAACCACAAGCAGCCCAAACTCACTTGTGCTTTTCCTTCTGAAAATGGTGACTGCATTCACCGGTCTGCTGCCCTCCTCAAGACCTTGTTACCCCCCAAAACATCTGTGATACGAGGACTAGCTCGGACTGTCTTAGCTGAGCCTGGACTATCTTGCCTCGCCAGGCTCTTCTGTGCCTATACTGATCTGGTGTTGAGCCCGTCCAGATAAAAAGCTTCTCTTGCCACTGACCTTTTTGAGCTCCATGAAGGTGTATTCCATGCCGCTACAGAGGCGAATTTCATCCTCATATCTAAGGAGAGTGAAAAAAGCAGTAAGAAATTGCCCATGGTGAAAGCCTCTGAGATGCTTAAGGTTATATTGCTGGCCCCAAGAAGTGCTGGTATCAAAGCTTTTCGAATTTACTACAACGTCCCACCTCCTTGATGTACACTAGGCAGCAAGGAGAGATGTCTCCTAGGTGTGGGCATCTTGGACAAGAGAGAGGATAACAAGCTGCTACATGCCAGCTGCTCTGTAGCAACACCATGAGCACTTCAAGTCTGAAAAGCACCAGAGTAGAGAGGAGGTAGCTTCAATTCTAATTTAATTTGAGGGCTAAGCAACCTCAGGTTACCTTACATTTGCCACAGAAAGAGAGAGTAGGCATGGAGAAGTGGGGTGTGGTGCGTTATTCTCTGTGAAACCCAGTCTCATGCCCAAAGACTCCTAAATTTTCACCCTTCTGTTTCTTTCAGCATTTAATTTCCAGAGTCTGGAGCCTTCAAAAGGGAGATGTTGGCTTGTGAAAATTCTGAGAATACTGGACCAGTGTCATAACTTATCCTCAGTGCAGTTTGTGAAGTAACACAGGACCTGGCAAAGCAATTCATGGAAAACGGTGCCCACAGAGCAGAAGGTAACAAAAACCGGACGGGATGGGGTGGAGGCCTGATGGCTGAATATCCAGCAGAGGAACCAACCCCGCAGGTGTCTAAAAACAGGTTTGATAAGGCAGGACCAGGATAGCAAAGACTTAGTCTGGGGACAAATGCTTTTCTTGATGGCCAGCAGCAGACACGAGAGAGTAGCTCAGGGCACACACCAACCCTTCTTGGCTCCGGGGACCAGCACGTGGCTAGCCCTGATGTCTGACTGGAAGCCACAGGCTCTCTTTGGGGGCTGTTGGTTTGTTTGCTGTGCAGGAGCGTTATGTGGGTGTTTGGTATCTCCCACTGTGCTGCTGGACACTCTTTGGGCTCTTCTGCTGAGACCAGAGCGGGTTGTGCTCTCGGGGAGGTCGTGGCTCCCCTGCTCTTCCATGATACCTCGGGCTCCTTTTAGCCTAATGTGCACATAGTGTTTCCAGGCTGTGGATGAAACCTTCCCGTGGGACTTGGAGACGGCACCAAATTGATACGGGGGAGACTTTGGGAATGAGGTAAAATGGCATCTCCTAACAGAGCAATGATGATAAAAATGAGGAATGACAGCCATGTTCTGTTGTTTGGTGCCTGGTGCATCATCATTCCAGTTACCTTGAAGAGCCTTCCCTGCTGTCATACAAACCTTTAGGAGGAAGAGGAGCGGTACTGGGAACACAGCACAGGAGCTGATCTAAAATATCAGAAAGAGCTCCCTGGAGCTGTCGCTTCCTCGACAGAGGGGCTAGTGAGGACAGGGCGGGGGGGTATCTGACAGTCCCGGGCTCTACAGTCAAGCACTTCTAAGGTTCCTCTTGAGTACCCCCATGGTGTTAAACTCACCCTCTCCTTGCCTGCTTTTGTAAGGCCAGGTGATGTGGCTAACGAGATTTACCTGTCTGGTTTCTCTGCTCTTTAGCTGGAATGTTAGCCATGCTGCCAGCAACTATGTACTGAGCTTAATTACAGCCTGCCACTCTTCCTTCATCCTCATTGCAACTCAGCCCAATCCCAGTCTGTCCCAGCCTGCCGAAGCAGCTTCACACATTGCCAGATGCTGACATAATCTTACATTTTGAACAAACAACAGTCCTGACTGAAAGAGAGCAGGCCCAGCCAGCCAAACGTGCTCACCGCACGGCTCCGGAGGGACCTGGCGGCCGGGAGATGATTCACATGGGGATGGAGCATTCCACAAACACATTACAGCATTTATCTCCTCAGAGATAATCCTCAAGCAGTCATACATTAAGGTGTAAATCCATCCCAGCTCGATTCAGGCACTTAAGACACACTTGAGACAGGCGTCTGGTAGCCTTGGGCTCCTTCCATAAGCAGTGAAGCAAAAGCAGAGGTGAACCAAATCTCAGGCAGGCCGTGTTCCTCTCTGGATGTGCCTTCAAGACTACTTTAGGGTGAAGATGAAGTGGTGGGATTGATCTGAGCCTGGTGGCATGAATTAAATCAGTCTTCCTCTTGTGGAGCAAGGAAATGGGGCAGGAAGTAGCTGAAATCCAACTGCAGAGGTTGAAGGGGGAGAGGTGTTGGCTGTCTAGTCTTCAGGGGCAAGATTCGACTGACAGAATCCCTGGATCTCAGAGATGGATGCTCTAAGGGCTCTGTGCCCCATATTTTCCTGCAGTATCTCCCCAGTGCTGCAGTAGAGTAGGTCAGCACGGGCAAAAATTTCCTGCCCCACACACGTGGGGAGCTTGAAGCAAACCCTTGTGCAGCTGAGCATCCCTACATGGTATGGTTTGGTATTTGATTTTTAGCTTGACTTCCTGAAACAGCAGGGTCTGAGATCCTGCAGCAGCCTCCAACCTGCATCCCTGTCCCCTCTCCCTTCCCCTCTCCATTTGGAATTGCTGGTCAGCGAGAACCTAATTTGAGAAGGAGGTACAGGTGTCCCAGCTACTTAAATCTCCTGTATGGTTTTTGGAAAGCAGGCCCTGCATAGAGAAGACAGATGAATTAGGGCCTTATAGAGGGGCACTGAAGGCAGATTTCACATCTGAAGTGACCTGCTGGTCAGCAGCTCGCTCGGGGGGTCCCTGGGTGATGATGTGTTCCCTCTGGAATGCCCCAGCTTGGATGGGAAGGTACCCAGGTCACTTTGCCAGGGAAGTTATTAGCTATTCTTCCCCCAAAAATTTCCCTTGGGAAAAAAAAAACCCTCTAGAGGAGTTGGAAGCCTTCAAAATTTGCATGGCTTAGGCAGACCGTTTGCCGGGCTGAGGCAGCCGTGTTGAAGGCGGCGTGCAGGACTCGACAGAGCCAGCGTGGGTTAGGACGGGCTTGGATTGCTGCCTGCAGAAGGCTCAGCAGAAGCAGCACTTCTCTCCCCGTGAATCACCGACCACTGGGAGCAGCGCGGTGGATTGTCACTGTCACAACGCCCAGTGACAAGGGGGGGTTTTGCCTGTTTGCTGCTTAGGTCGCCCCCGGCAGAGCTTGTGCCTTGCAGCTCCCAGGCGGGAGAAAGCGGAAGGGGAAGGCTCCGCAAACGAAGGGAAAACGCTTTGAGGAGCAGAGTAATTTCTGAACGCTGTTTTCCCGTGGCTGTGTAGTCCCACAAAGCGGGAACTCTTCTCAAGACCGATAGCTGGGCTAGTCATAAGCTGGTGTCCACTGCAGATTCTCTGCTGTCTAATACCGCGCCTGTGCACAGGCTGCGTCCTTATCTTCTGTGTGTGTTGGGTGTGGGGTGGGTCCTGTTCCTCTAGCCAGTCTCTTTTCTTAATTTTGAGGGTTATAACATCCCCATCATGTCTTATCTTGTTGTCTAGCTAGGTAATAACTGTCCAAGAAAAATCAAAACATAGGGGGAAAGCAAGCAGACAGCCTGTTTGTGTAAGCACCTTTGTTCTTAAGAAATCAGGCTGAAAAATAAATGAAGCGCCAGACGTAGGCAATTAGTGAGGCAATTGCTGAGTACAAATATGAGTGCAAACTGTGAGAGCAGATAGGGGTCACTGATCTGACATTTTTCCACCTGCCCAGCTATTTTCCTATCTGGGTTTTCCTGGCTGTCAGGGAATAAACCAAGAAGTATCTTTTATAACTGTGGGGCCACAGGGCAGTTACTTCCTCGGGGAAGTGCTGGGAAGAGCGAGTGCTCCAGAGAGGGCTGACAGGTTTTAACCTTTTTAGGGCAGGGAGTAAATGGCACAATCCACAGCATGGCTTTGATCTAAGCACAGGATTGCTACATGTCAGCAAAGCAAGCGGCAGTGAGCTCAAGTCTTGTAGCGAAACCAACGTCCATGTACAGAGCAGACAGACACCCACCACAAGGAATTCCAGTGTTTCTAGGCACCTGGGTTTCACTGTGTTGCTGCTTGAAGGATGCTGAGCATAACGATTTCAGCATAAGGTCAAGAACCAAACTCCTGGGGCCTGTTGTGGCTCTGCCACCAGCTTGCTCTGTGAACTTGGGTGAGACATTTAACTGCTGTGTCTCCATTAAGATGTCTGTGAAGTGGAGGTATCAGTCCTCCCCCTAATTTAGAGAGACATCGAGTTGCTGGCTTAAAGTCTGCAAAGAGCTTTAAGATCCTTGGGCTAAGCTCTCTGGAGAGGGCACTGTTATTATTTCTGCATCACTTTGTACATGAGGAGGAGGTTTGGGCTGTTACTACAGTGATGTAGACAAGAAGGGCAGTCCCTTAGCATCGCTCTTCTGTTTGGCAGTGCCCATACGTGGCTCTTTGCTACAAATCAGCATGGAAGACTCCAGAGATCTCGTGTAGGCAGATGGGTGTAACTGTAAAGGAAAGTATCTAATTGTGGATTCATCTGCGGTATGCAAATGACACCAATAATAAGAAAAGCATTGTCTTCTTGAATGAGCCATGGCACATCTCAGAGGCTCTTATCTGAAGATCTCAAAGCTCTTGGCAAAAGCAGCCATAGGCACATGGCAGCTGGTCCTCACTTAAACTTTCAGCTGCCTCGATATTTTTTGTCGATGGGTTTTCTGGGTAAAAGTCTGACTTTTTGGACTAAAGCAGAGTTTTGCATTAAATGTTGTAGGGTGAAGGGGGAAAGGAAGGGATGTTTGTTAATACTAAGCAGCCTAAATCTATAAATGGTTTGGGGATAAAGTTCTGGTTTGTGATAACAGCAGGGACAATAAATATTTTCTGTTTTAGTGTTTGTCATTCCTGATAATACTGTTCCTTGGGGCTGTTCTCTGGCCTGAGGCATTTCTCAGATTGCCCAATTTCACTTTTTATGGGTTTCCTTTCATCTCTAATTAATCGGGAAGAGGCTGGGCTGCTAACTTCTCAGATACACTGTTCTGTGCACACCAGACCAGGAGTTTGTTCGTGAGAATAACCGGCTGTGTTAAATCAATCCCATGCTACTCTTCATGCACACGCTGAACCCATACCTTCCAAACACCCCTCCACCTTGTAATATCCAGCTAGGCCAGACACCTACTTGCTTCGAAAGTTATCCATGGTGCTCAGGACCTTTGTCAGCTCCGACTCGAGATTTTCCTGCTCGTAGTTGAGCGCTTTCATCTCTTGATTCATTTTGCTCATGTACTGATCATAGATGGCCTTGATGTCTGACTCGGAGTGGGAATTGTCTTGATCCTTCAGGAAGTTCCACCTTGTCATCAGGACCTTGTTCTGTTGTTCCAAGCACTGGACCTACAGAAGAGGTTTCAGAGATATTAGTGACACCGCTAATAAAATTGAGGCTGACTGCTCCTGGCAGGGCAGGAGATGTTGACCTGGAGACCTTCAGAGTAGTGAGAAGCTTTTGGAATCAGCAGAAATTTCCAGGTAAGAATGAGAAAACCCTTGAAAATCAGGCCTGAGGATGGAGGGTTACAGGGACTTTTAGAAGTTTTACACATTACCTACTAATTAAATTCTTGATATAACATGTTCGCATGAAAATGAATGAGCATCTTTTATTAAGTCACTGAAAAATAAGGACTGTTCAATGCTAGTCCACTTTTGATTGAAGCAAAGGCTGAAAATCTACCAGAGGTCATGCACAGATGTCCAGGGTGAATGAAAGTCAGATTTACTACCTCAGAGTGTCACAAAGAAAGATAACTCCTCTCAGATCTGTAGGATTACACCATGGTGAAGTCTGGGTAGTGAATCAGAGTCCTGGTTTGTATTGCAAAGCAACATAGTCAAGGCCTATGGGAACTCTAGAGAATAAGCAAAATAATTACAGACTCCACGTGAGCTCTGTGTGTGCATGCACCTGTCTGCTTGAGAGAGGAGACACTGCATTTCATCCGCCCACCAGCTGATGAATCTGGCCCTCTTCTTTCCTAATATTCACAACCTTAACAGCAATGCTCCGTGTTTAAGTTTTTGGTTTTGAAGGTCTTGGTTCACTTCAATCAATTATCTCGTTGCTACCCCTCTCTCCTTTTGCTCTGTGAACAAAACCAAACGCCCTCAGTCACCTTTTGGCTGGTGATTTGTGAGTTGCCTCCACCAACATCCTCCACTCTATAATGGGGATGATTCAGTGCTGATACTGTGCCCTGGGTAGTGTGGGCAGTGGGGGGCAGATGCTGTCTGGCCTTGACCTTCTGCTTGGCCTTCAGCTTTGATGAACTTTCTGCAACCCGAAGCAGCACCAGGGCCCTGAAGAGACAGAGCTCCCAGCTGCTGACCCCTGCACGGATACACACGGGGAGGGCCAGCATCTTCCCAGACTGCTTCTTGGCCGAGCAGAGAGCGAGAAGCAGGAGCAGAGGCACTCCGATGCTCACAGTTTTCAGCAGAAGGGATCCGAGTGTTGAGATCTTCCAGGTCTCACTGTTAGAGACCTGATCCTTTCTCCCCGATATCTAAACTCATGGCCCATACTGACATCCCATCAGTAGCCCAGCCTGCTGACTGGCTCCTTCTCCTGGCACAAAGCCAGCGGCACACTGGGTGCATGTGCGAAGCCGAGCGCCAGAAAGGGGCATCACAGGTGGCACAAGTGGCCTCTGAGGCTACCAGGAGCCAACTGGGACGTTTGTTCTCTCTGTCTGGGGTATCTTGGGGATTGTGACAGAGCACTGTCCGTGGGGCTGGGGTCAGCCTGTGGGATTGGCTGTAAGGAACAGCCTCCTGTTTTAAGGCAGCTTCCCCGTTTGCTGCTGGGATGGTAAATGGTTGAATGTGTTGGCTGTTGTTCTAGGTCCATCTTTGACCCCCAAATGAAGTCTCAGTTCCTGACCTTGCTCCTAATCCTTAGCTCTTCTTTTTCTCCCTCTCCCAAACTCTTCAGTTTCTTTCCTGTTCCCAAAACATACCTATCCAGGGGGCTGAACTGCTTACATATTGGCTTCTTATAGAGCATCCCTCTTAGCAGAAATTCTTCTTCGCAAAGTCTTTTAACATGAGCTTTGCAGCAGAAGAATCACCCAGATCTGATCTCATTTCCCAGAAGATCAAGCCTGAACATAGAAGTGACCAAAGGTGCTGCTCAGGCTAAAGGTAGAGCTTCAAACAGGGGCTTCATGACTTGGCTTTTCCCTCTCTTCCACCTGGACATACCTGGGTGGAAAATAAACACTAGCAGATCTGGAACAGCCTGCTGGAAAACCATCAGCAGCAAACTCCTAAGGTTAGTGTGGTCAATTAGCTGAGGAATTAGCCGCTTAGGGTTGAGACCATCTGAATAACTGATTAAAAAGACAAGTTCTCTTTGACAGGGAAGTGTCATTACTTTCCTCTGGAATGAGGGCCTGAGGCAGATGGCTGAAGTTTGCCACTTGATGTACCACTTGAAGCTACAGCCTTCAAAGCCAAACGCAGGAGCTGCTAGCACCGAGGCCAAAGCCACCCAACGACAGTGGGGTGTTTGCGTCCTCTGTCCGTCAGGCCACCAGATTGGGTTTATCAGGAAACCTGGAGGCTCTTTCGCTTCTTCCATCCCTGTTTGCACAGAACAGGCGTCTGCATGTGATCTGGCTCACGCACACGTTGTCACTGTGTGGTCTTGTCCCATCACCTCTATCCCCATCCCTCCTGCTGAGGTCTGGTTTCTGAGCAGGGCTGACATCCACACAAAACCCGACCTTTCAATCTGGACCAGTCCTGCACCACAACCCACCTGGGTGATTTCCACACCAGGGCTTCTCCAAATTCACACTGCCAACATCTGTGCTTGGAAAAGCACCGACGTGGAGGCTGCCGTGTCCCCTCCATCCAGGGTCAGCCCCCTGGTACTGCCGCACGCCTGCTCGCACACGCGGGTGTGGTTGGTTCACAGCTATTCAGGTTGGAGAGATGCTATGGGAGATGGTTCCCCCGCCCTTCTCCTTCCCAGTGTGAACTCAGGTCCTCTTAGAGGTAGAGTTAAAACAGAAAAAAACCCCAACCAACCCAAGCCATAGTAGCTTGGCATTGAGCGCCTGTATTGTAGACTGCAGTGAAGCAATCCTCCTAGGAGATTACCATCTGTTTACAGAGCACTAGGGCTTTGCAGAAACCTGCCTCGGCTAGATGAGTTGTTTTCCTTTGAGAAAAACCTTCTGCCTTCTCATGGATCTTAAGAGATGAAAGCGACACTTTCTTGGCTAAGCACGCAACCCCTCACAGTAAAAACCACAGAGGAGGGAGGTGGGAGGGGGGGTCTCCCTTGCCCACCACGTTGCTATGGAGGTGAATTTCCAGCTTTCTTTAGCAGTTGAAGAAGAACTTGAGCTGCCACCTTATTCAGGATCACCACCCGTGGCTGTGTGTCCACTCTGGGAGCCAAGGCCTCTCTCTGCAGCACGGCGCCTCCGTGGCCCTGCCTGTGCTGCTCGTGCAGGGCCAGGTCCCCGGGGGCAGAGCTGCCTGTCCTCCCCAGGGACCCCCGGGATGCCCGGCACAGCAGAGGAGATGCCTGACACTGCTGACCGCACATGCGGCCTGGCTTCACCTAGAGATGATGCTAGCCCTTGTTAAAATAGATAGCACTGAAGGAATAACTAATTGGGTCATTAGCCTAATATTCAGAGCCTGGTAAGGATTAGCTGCAGTTCTCGATAAGTCTCCTAAGGGTCAGGTTAGCATTTGCTTCCCCACCATCATCCTTGTCCCCATCCTGCACCATGGTCCTCGGTAGCTCACCTTACCTTCTCAATTAGGGTCACAAACTGGTTGTTGAGCAGCTTGATGTCCTCTTTCTCCTGCTGCCGTATGGCTTGGAAGTCTGAATCGATATCAAGGTTCACGGGGGCCAGAAGTGTCCTGCTGATGGAGAAGGAGGGGTAGGAGGAGCACCGGTATCCACCATCCCCGTGAAGGCTGAGAGAGCTGTAGCCATTGCTGGCCGCCCCGTCGGGACTGCAGCGGCCCAGGCGATCCGGGGACGTGCTGGCTGCTTTTCCTCTGCTCATCTTCCCTGACACCTCCCAAGAGGAGAGGGAGCCACTGGTGAAGGCTTTGCAAGGGTTAGTCATGCTCAGCTTGTGGCTCTGCAGCTCGAGGGAAGGGGAGGGAAAGAGGGAGAAGAAAAAAAAAAAAAAAAGATGAAGTTTTCTTGCTGCTGCTGCCTCAAAGGGAAAGAGAGTAGTGGCACACTGAGGAGTTTGGTCGGCTTAATTCCTGTCTCCTCAGCTCGTGGGTTGGCTAATGAATTACAAGCACCTGTTCTCCTATGTTCATTAAACGGAGGAGGGTGTAACCGTTGATGTAATCCAGATCAACCTGTTGGCTTTTTTTTTTTTTTTTTCCCCTCCTCTGTCTGTACCCTCCTTTCTTCAGGAGCTTGTTTGTGTGGTGAGGGCATAGGCACTCGCAGCAAAAACAAATCACTCACAGGTAATTCGCTGGGCCCCAAGCAGCTGCTTTCCTCATCCTTAAATGGTGAAGAAAACATTCAAAGGTGCTGGGCTGCAGCAGGCTCAGGGAGGATGGCTCTGAGCACAGCTGCTGCACTAGCACGTGGAGCCTGGGTTCAGCCCCTGCCTGGTTTCCAGCCAAAATCTGCAGGAAGGAATTGTGATTTTTTTTTTTTTTTTTTTTTTTTTTTTTTTTTTTTTTTTTTTTTGAGGGGGATGTGTGTGTTAAAATCATAAAGAAAAAGTCTGAATTGGCTAAAGGTAGGAGTTTGGAAACACATCTCAAGCTCATTGTGCTTAGAGGTGCTGGTGGCCTTCCCTTGAGCACACGGGCACATCATGGAAACTTCTGGTGCTCTGAGTGGTTTTGGGGTGCTGAGTCTGGTTTTGAGACCCCTGGGTGTGGGAACCAAGAGTCCTGAAGTTATTCAGTCATCTGGTCTGGCAACAGCAGAGACCTTCAAAACCTCTGGACAGAGTTGGATCTCAAAAGTGCCCGACTCCGTCTTTGACTACCACGCTCCACGTTCCTTGAAAGCCCTTTAAAAACTTGTGCTGGAGACCCCAAAACCCACTGTCTTTTAATGAATTCTAGGCTGTTAAGGTGGAATGCCTTTAATACCTGTTTGGACCTAGGTCTAAATCAGTGTTGGACATGGCTCTCTTGAAAGCATTTTCCTGCTTTAACTCAGTTTCACATGTGAAAAATCAGGACAGAACACTTGTTTCTGCCTCTTTATGTCTGTTGGCGTTGTGGTGTTCTCAGGAAAGGGGATGGTCTTCTGTGGCCAAAATGTGGCATTTCCATTTTGTGGGAAAGCTCCTGTTTTATGCTCTGGTTCTGCCCCGTGTTGAAAGACAAGCTGGGAATTTCCCTACAAGTGCAGTGAAAGAAAGCTTGGATCTGTCACAGACCTGCTTCAACAAGAAACATATCTGATGAGGGAGTAGTTTTTGCCTTTAGAAGGACTTCAGAAGGAAGATGACCCATTCCAGTAGGGTTAACCTTTTCTTCAAGCATAGTTTCGGTATTTTTTTCAAGACCCATGTGCTTTCACCGGGCGCATCCATCTCACCAAAACACCCTTTTCAGGGAAGATGTTTCCCCTGATGATCCATTTGAATACCAAGTCCCTCACTCGACGAATCCTGGTCAACACTTCTGACTTTAATCCTGACGGTTTATTTTAAGGATTAAAACAAAACTTACGGCTGGGAGATGACAAAGCTCATGGTTCTTGCAGGATGAGGTGAGATTAGCTATCTCATCGTGGGCTGCTCTTTGTGGCTTTGCGGTTGCAGGCACATCAGTGTTCCCGATTAGCATCAGGTCATGGGGTCACCTGGCAGGTTTTTTGCTTCATCTGGTACTGAGGGCAGTTGTGATGGCTTCCCTAGAAATGATCCCTCTGAGGGAAGGAGATAGAGGTGGAATTAGGCTAGTTCAATTTAATAGCGGCGGAGAGCGGAGTTCTGCACTGAGCCCGGTGGGGGTATTGCATGGTTATGCTTTGCAAGGTCCCAGGAAGCACCGCTGGTCATTGGCAGCCACATCTACCTGTGCATCAATCCCTACTCCTTTCTCCTCTAAATATCAATTTTTTTCTCTCACCCTCTCTCATTTTGTTTGTTTTTTTTTTTTTTTCCTTGAAATGAGATTTCTAACACTGGAGCCAGCCTGTGAGGATATCCAGTTTGGCTGAAATAGCATCTCCCAGTGCACAACGGCACAAAACCCTCTTGAGGTGATCAGATTTAATTGTGACATGTTGCTTGGTGCCTTTTGAGTCCCGGTTCCTGCACAGCAGCACATGCTGTATCCCGCATCCTCTCTATTAGATGCTGGAGGCAGAGGCCGAATCATTCTGCCGCAGAAAGATGCAGGAGGATGATTGTTCAGGATTACAGCTGCCTTTAGGAAAAGGCAGGGTGAAAAGCTGTTTTTTCAGTGGGAGCACTGGGGCCGCTCTACGCTGAGATGAGCAAGGCTTTTCAAAGTCCTGCCTCCTTCCAGAAGGATGGGTATAATTTGAAATAACCCTCTAAGGAAAGTGTTTGCAAGTGGTCATCTCTGCTGGCAGGTGATGTGAGGATGTGTGGGAAGAGCTTGCAGAGAGAGGATTAACCTGCTTTCTAACCTCTCCCCTCTAGGTGCCAAGGCTGAAGCTCCTGCGTCCCACCTGTTAGGCAGAGGGGTGAGGTGGGGGATCCAAGAATTTCAGTCTAGCTGGCCTAATTTCAGTCCAACGGCCTGATGCTGAAATGAGACTGCTCTTTGGTGTCGTAGGTGCGCTTAGAGACGCAGAAACCTGTCACCTCCCGCTGTCTCTTCAAGGATGGAGAAGGGAGAGCTGCTTTACAGCAGCAGCCAAAGCCTTGCTGCGTGTTTCTCTCCCTTGCTGTCCTCCCAGCCCTATGGGAGAGGCAGTGCTGAGTCAGGGTTTTTCTTCCCTTCCTGCCGATGTTTTCGATGCTCCTCCTTGGCGAGGTATTTGGTTCATTTTGGAATGGGCTGGTCTCCAAAACTGGGCTTTAAGATTTGGCACCAGCCTCTTTGGATACACAGCTAAAACAAGCTGAAAAAGGATGGGGACAAGAGGAAGGTGGTAGCAAGGTGGAGAAGGCTCTGGAAGATGCGATGAAGGGTCTGGTCACCTCCAGCTAAAAAGCTGTGTCCTCCTGCTCCTGTAGTGTTGCTACCTGTGTCCTTGCAGCCTGGGCTGGCTTGTCTCCTCATCCGTTTGGATGGAGTCATCACCATCCAAAGATGCTGAGTGGTCCCAGGATCTCTTCCAGATCTGTCTGGAGGAAAACAACGTGTTGCTTTGAGTTTGCAGTGTGGTTGTTTGGTAGGTGGAGGTTTGGAGATGGGCACAGGGTGGCTTGGGAGTGCTTAAACCTTAGCAGACAAACCTAGAGAGTCTTGTCACCTGTCTCTTGATACATGGAGACTTATCCCAGCCATCTGGGAAATCACCTTTTAGGGTTATTAGCTCAATACTTATACACATAGGAGAATAATTTATTTATCAAGGTTCCATAAGTAATTGTTGTTTATTAAGTATGGGTGATGTATGAAGCATAAACAACGAATCAGCATTTGTCCCAAGGAATCCAAATGATGAAGATTAAGCAAGGCAGAGACAGGGCTGAAGGATGCAGAGCTGTGGAGGTAATGAGTGGGTCAGCAGGAATTATTTAAGCCTCATCAGGCATGCGAGGAGCGTCTGGAGTGGGAACTGAGTGTGTTAAGCCCGGTGACACATCGCAGGGGAATGGCTGATACTGTGGCCACAGGTAGGACAAGGCAGAGCAGCTACAGGTTCCTGGTTCCAGAGAACGAGGTTCAGTGCACTGAGCTCACTTCAGGCTTAAAAAAAGCCAACAAGAGGAGGGCCTATTCTGTTATATGTTTGGTTTGCTTTTGATAAATTTGGCTGCTGGCCCTCATCCTGTGATGGGAGAGGCATTTACCTGCTCTGGGGCATAGGCTGGAGAGAGGTGGATGACGTGGAGTCACAGGCCAGCGCCGCTGCCCAGAGCTGGGTCTGTGGTGAGGGGCTTTGACTGCAGAGACGCCTTGGTTCAGCTGTTCTCAGCCCATCTCTGCAGTGCCCAGTGGAGGAGGGACGGGGCTGGGCTGGGCTGGAGGCCTGCCTGGACCAGTGCTGTGGTAGGACAGGCAGGGCCACGCCACTGACCACAGGGCTCCATGCTAATTTGGTCACACATGTGGTTTGCCATTGCTCTCCCTGTCTGTCCCTCCCCAGCCCTGGGGGACAGTGGATGGGCACTGAGGGAAGTGCTGTAGCCACCTTGTCCATGCTGGGATCAGGGCATGGTGGCAGGGGACAGGAGAATTTCTCCCCAGACAGTGGCTCTTTGTGGGCCCTGGTTTGGGGGATGGCTGGGGATAGCTCTGCAGCTTTCCCTGCACGCACTCCATCCCTGCTCGTTCCTTCTCTCTCACTTGTTCCTCCTTTCTGTGCTCATCCACCCTTTTAGTGTCCCTTTTCTATTCTCGCTTCATCCTTTCATTCCTTCATGTGCCTGCCCAGAGCCATCCACATCACCTTCCTCCTGCCAACCCTCTGCCCTCCATGCTCCTTTTTGATTTCCAAGTGAAGCAGTGAGTAGCTATAACTGCTGTCTAAATTGCTTCCCCAAAAGAAACGTCACTTGCAAAGAATTTATAGAAGGGTTTGGAAGGCAGGACAGGACGTGCCCACATCTGCTTCACACTCAGGAAGGTTTCCAATCCATCTGCTGAGCTTTTGCTCACGTAGTTTCCAGGAAATTTCAGGTATTGGGGAAAAAAAAAAAAAAAGTAGGACTAATTAAGTGGTGGTGACATCACTCGTTTGTGCTGGGGTGCTGCAGGCTCTTCCCTTCCCACTGTACAAAGAGGTTGGGTGATACCGTCCGTGCCTGGGGCTGGGGAAGCAGCTGCTGGGCGCTAGATCTCCCCCAGCAGCCGCATGGTATCATCTCCCAAATAAAGGGACTCGGCTCTGTCTCAGAAACCGCTGCTTTATTTTCCCAGTTGAAGGCTGTCGCAGAGTCTCTGAACCACCCCCCGTGTGTTCTCAGCTGTCCATCACCCCCCCTGGTCCTTGTGG